TGTGTGTCCCTGTCCCTTCTGGGTCTGTGTGTGTCCTCGTCTGTGTGTCCCTGTCCCTGCTGGGTCTGTGTGTGTCCTCGTCTGTGTGTCCCTGTCCCTGCTGGGTCTGTGTGTGTCCTCGTCTGTGTGTCCCTGTCCCTGCCTGGGTCTGTGTGTCCTCATCTGTGTGTCCCTGTCCCTGCTGTGTTGTGTGCGTCCTTGTCTGTGTGTCCCTGTCCCTTCCTGGGTCTGCATGTCCTCATCTGTGTGTCCCTGTCCCTGCCTGGATGTGCGCAGGCACTGGCAGGACCTGGGCTACCTGATCCTCTACATCACGGGCCGACCGGACATGCAGAAACAGAGGGTGGTCTCCTGGCTGTCCCAGCACAACTTCCCTCAGGGGGCTGTCTTCTTCTCCGAAGGGCTGGTGCACGACCCGCTGCGGCAGAAAGCCCTCTTCCTCAGGAACCTGATGCAGGAGGTGCTGATGGGCGGCTGTACTCACACACACACACAGACAGACACAGACACACACATAAAAACACACACACACACTTACACACTTCCTTATGTTTCACTGCATGGCGTTTACTTTGCCTAAGGACATTCCAAATATTTTTAGCACTTCGGTTTTACTAAGTTAAAAAGAGGCCTTTAATTTTAGATTAATGTCTCCACAAGGTATAATTTTCAGTGTTCAGTTACAAGGCACAGCTGCCGCAAACACACAGACAGACTCCTTAACAAGCATGTTTCGTCTCCTGTCACCAGTGTCACATTAAAATCAGTGCCGCTTACGGCTCCATGAAGGACATCTCCGTGTACAGCATGCTGGGTCTCAGTCCGTCTCAGATATACATCGTTGGCCGCCCTTCCAAGAAGTGCCAGAACCAGTGCCAGGTAGGCGGAGCCTCCTTCTGGTCTTCGCAGTGCTGATCAGACCCACTTGTGTGTGTGAGTGGGCCGTTCCTGATACCTAGGGTAGATGTTCTGTCTTTGTCATCTTCCCTTTCCGCTGTCCCCGCCCAATGCAGTTCCTGAGTGAGGGCTATGCAGCCCACCTGTCCATGCTGCAGTTTGGGCACCGGACGCGACCCAAAAAGAGCTCGTCGGTCCGCATGGTTCTGCGCAAAGGCTCCTTTGGTCTGTCTGCCAAGCCCGAGTTCCTGTGCAAGCGCACGCACCTGCGGCGCACCATGTCGGTGCAGCAGCCAGACCCCCCCTGCAGCGCCAACCCCAAGCCTGAGCGGGCACAGAGTCAGCCCGAGTCCGACAAGGACCTTGGAGGGGGCAGCGGCGGGGGGGTGTCGCTCAGCGTCTGGGGCCGGGGCTCCTTGCACCGTGAAGACACGACACCCTGAGACGGGGGCCAGGGGATGCAGAGAAAGACGCCAGCAGTACCCCGCCCAGGGCCGAGGTAGGCAATGTCACCTCCTCCTGGGGTCACCTCCACCCAGATCCATCCCCATTCATGGTCACCTCCACCCAGTGTCACCTCTCCCTGGGGTCACCTCCACCCAGTGTCACCTCCACCCAGATCCATCCCCATTCATGGTCACCTCCACCCAGTGTCACCTATACCCAGATGCATCCCCATTCAGTGTCACCTCCACCCAGCATTGCCTCCACCCAGGGTCACCTCCACTGAGATTCATACACATTTAGTGTCACCTCCACCCGGGGTCACCTTCACCCGAGGTCACTTCCACCCAGATTTGTACCCATTCATTGTCACCTCTAGCCAGGGTGACCTTTAACCAGTGTCATCTCTACCTGGGGTCGCCTTCACCTAGTTTCACCTTCACCCAGTGTCACCTTCACCCAGTGTCACCTTCACCCTGTGTCACCTTCACCCAGTGCCACCTCCACCCAGTGCCACCTTCACCCTGTGTCACCTCCACCCAGAGCCACCTTCACCCTGTGTCACCTCCACCCAGTGCCACCTTCACCCTGTGTCACCTCCACCCAGTGCCACCTCCACCCAGTGCCACCTTCACCCTGTGTCACCTCCACCCAGTGCCACCTTCACTCTGTGTCACCTTCACCCTGTGTCACCTCCACCCAGATTCATCCCCATTCAAGGTCACCTCCACCCTCCTGCACAGTGATTCTTTCAGAGGAACCACCTCACCGTGTCTACAGAATCTATTAAAGGCACAATCTTTTAGCTGAGTTGCTTGCTGTCGGATTATTACAAGCTGCATGCGCTGCTACTGCCTACCTGCCCCTCCCCGCATGTGACAGCCTTTGCAGACGAGACGGCAAGCAGCAGCAGGCCAATGTATGACCCCCCACCCCCGGCAGAGCCACACAGAGGGGAATTGGGCTGAATCTGCTTCCTTATAAATATTCATGTGGGAGACTCAGATGCTATTATTAGCAACTAGGAAGACTTTTTTTATTCAAAGCCAGCCTCCACCCATTCTCCCATCGGAGGGCTTTTCCAGAAACACGGATGCTCAGATAGGGATGAAAGGCATCCAGAGGAAGACAATTATCTGCCTCTGTGCTCCAAGCCGCATTCCCAGACCGTCGACCATCCCGTGAAGATGCATGGGCTGCGGATCACCATGGCATCGTGTGCTGAGAGAGAGCAGAGTGTGGCTTTTGGGGGGGTGCGTCGGCCTGATCAGGGATGTGGGTCACATTACTGACGGACATTTTTATAATTCCGCTTTTATCTGTTCTTATCTTTCCACGCAGCTCCCAAAGATGAATTATGAACCCTCCCGAAATGTCACCCCATTTTCCAAGAGACATGCCGGCTCACCACGCAGTCAGCCTGGGGGGTGGGGGGGGGCTCGGTCCGGCCTGGCAATCCTGGAATGTAAGCTGCTTAACACGTCTCCCTTAATACTGATTCGGAAGCTTGCTGGCACGTGGAAAAGCACAGGAACAAGAGACGCGACGGATACCTCCGGGCCGAGAGGAGAATCGGGCTGGGATGCGCCGCCGAATCGCGAGATTATTAGCCCATAAATGAATCCAGAAACTCAGCCAATACATCCCTGGGAGATTTGGTGATTCCAGGTCCATCCGATGGCATTCAATGAAATTAATCCAGTATAGGGTTTTTTTTTTTTATTCATTGGAATTTCTGATTAAAAAAAACAAAAAAAAAAAAACAAGGCTGCTGGCGTGAGCTGGGAGATTCACTGGGAGGTTGGGAGGTTTTTGGGCAGCTGGAGACCTGAGATTCCCAGGTCCAGCTGGTCTGCTTGTGCAGTGAATTGTCCTGCAGAAAGGGGGCGCCACTGACTCCTGCAATAATATTCTGATATTCCAGTTGTATGTGTATGTACAGATATGTATACAGGTGTGTTAATCTCTGAGCCAGCATCCCCAGCACTGTTACAGACCCTGGGTCCTCGTAACCTGTTACTGTACTGCACCAGCCCAATGTTGGTTAAACCCTCCTGGTGGACGGGGGAGGCTGACCTGCATTTGGCCCCCTTCACCCCTGTTTTTTAACCACTTGGTGCCATGTTAGGGGAGGGGGGGGGAGTTCACTCGCATTTCTTCTTCAGGGCTCTCTCGGGATGGGGGGGTATCATAGTCAGGTGACCCACGATTATGCTCATTTGCTGAAACAAAACGGTACTCTTTGCCAAGTCGCTTTGGGGGGGCTTTTTTTGTAGTGTTGGACTGTGTTTTCTGTGACGTCATTACAAATATTCAACAGGGGCGGCGCTAACGGGGAGATGTTTGGTGATTGTGCTGGACTGAGAACACCAGTTATTGTAGGACAACTGCAACACACCACTTGTCCTCATGGAAGGATAATTAAGAGAGAGATAATGACAGTTTTAGGAATCTTCTTGTTAAGGTCATATCGATACTAGCAGTAGAGGGGAACACTTTGGAAACTGTAGAGCAGGGCTATTCAACTCACGGTCCTCGAAGTCCGAGCCCTGCTGATTTCCAGCCTTCCTTCACCTGTGAGCCAGGTGTGAAGCCTCTGACCAATCAGAATCAGTCATTATTAAACTAACTACCTGGGAGAACTGAAAACAAGGCCTGGATTTGGAATCGATGGCGCGAATTGAATAGCCCTGCTCTAGAGGTACCTCCAGTCTGCCTATCCAGTGGGTGGTTCCTGTCATGTCATGTGATCCAGTGGCCAGCCAATAGGAAGGCCCCTGTTGTGCTTACACTTATTTTTATATGAGGAATAATTTTTGTGTATAGTATTTGGAAATATTTTAAAGAAGTGTTTTTGAATTGTGTTGTTTAAATGGAATCTTGTTAGAGTGTTATTTTTGGCCTTAATTTGTATTTTGACGACCTGGAAAGAGGAATGTTGTATAACCCTTAATGCTTGACCAAAGTATGATAGTTTTACATCTATGGCAAAGTGAACCGTATCCTACTATATGTAATGTTTTCCTCTGTATTTTCTGTAGGCACATATAAAGTACACGTGGACTATTTTAGAACATCAAGCTAAAGTGTGCTTGTGTGTGTGAGATCATGGAAATTGCTCTAAGCTGGATGACCGTGGAAACCTGAAAGCCCTCCATACTGGTGAGGGTGATCAATGTGGAATAAGAAACACTAATATTAATTAAAGTTCACTCTGACAATGGACCAGGTTTAATGGAATCCCATTCTCTGCAGAATGCCAACTTCCATAATGTTCCCTGGCTCACAAACTTAGATTCACAGGTCGTCTGTGAGTTTGCTGGTGTCCTGGAGGCCAGAAACTTAATTGTCATCCGAAGGTGCAGAGCTCCGTCTGTAAAGTAGCTTCCTTGAGATCCACCAGATGGCTGGACGTGCTGAGAAGCTCCGCTGATTCCGATGGGAGCGATGCAGGGCGAAGGCAACGGGCCGGGAATGATGGAGTGATCAGTCGGCCTCCTTAAGTGGATCGTTACTGCGCTGCTGAGATTCTGCACACTAACACAGTGCCCTCACCCAAGGACACACATCGTGGGATTAGTTTGCACATAATCTTTTTAAATCAAAGACCCAGGGGGATCACGGCCCACATCGTAGAAAAAGAGAAAAACTATTTTATGAAAATTCATAAGGATTTAATATTCCAGTATAGTGCACAATCAGGTCAACAGAACTGTGTGATACAAGTAACCAGTCAGAAATTGTTTCTAAAGTATTGCTGAAAATGGGTGAAGTAGGTTCTCTATGAGATTTTTAATTAAACCCAATTTTCCTGCTTGTAAAACAAACACAAGTCACATATTGAAGCTTTGTTTTTTCAAACACAAAATGTAAAAATCTATGTAAAGGTATACTTCTGCTGACAGAGGTTCAGGTCACGTAACAAGGCACATGTTTTACATCCAAAATGAGACATTACAGAGGCAACCTTTACATCCCTAAGTCTAAGCTGACCGTCTAGCATGATAAATGGTAGCAAATACATTTTCATTAGTTTTCTTGTCAGGTTCTTCCCAAAAGGCATTTTGAGAGGATGGCAGAGAAAGAAAAAAAAAAGTCAAATCATATTTATCTTACACCTGGAGTCTGGCACCAGGAACACAGTCTTAAAGCAAAACACCCACCAGTAACACAGAGGTGTACGTTTTCTTCACAGAATTACTGTAAATAATGAATACTATAAATAATAGTCACAGATATGCTGTTTTCACCTGTACATAACTCAACTGAACATACCGCCCAGCTTAGTCATTTTTAATCATCACAGCATTTATATTTCCTAATGTATGTTGTAGTACAGACAGTGAACAAGCACCCAAAAATCAGACATCTGAGTGTGTCCCTCCCATGCCTACTTGGGGTGTGTTTGGTGCGGCTTACGGGACACACTCTCACTCTTCTCAGGTCTCCAGGGCAGCTGAAGCCCACTGCAGGCGGTCGCCCCAGTCCGCCAGTCTTAACGGAAGCCTCTCAGGCCGATGGCTCCGTCCCTGTATTGGGTTTGGGGGGAAAAAAATCCCAGTTAAAACTTAAATTTAAGATTTAGGAGGTTCATTTATCCATCTCATACATTCATCCTCGGGCGCCAAAATGGTGCAGAATGTTTCTGGCGGAACGAGGATCAGAGATTTCTAACCCTAAACCAGGGGTGGCCAATCTTATCCGCAAAGGGTCGGTGTGTATGCGGGTTTTTGCTGCAACTCCGTAATTAGATTACTAAACCTGCATACACACCGGCCCTTTGCGGGTAAGATTGGCCCCCCCTACTATAAACCATAAAGGGTTCTGTGGGGGCCACTGATTAAGGTGCGTTTAAATGGAGGTTCTGTTTCAAGTACACCGCTCCCTGAACAAAGCCAACAAACAAGTCTCACGATTTTTCAAGAAGGCAGGACCATTCACACCCAGAAAAACACCCCGACAGCCCAGTCCAGGGGAACTGAACCATTACCCACCTGCTAAATATCTGAGAGGTCCTGCCTTTTTATACTGAGTGAAAGCCCTCAGTAATTGTGCACGAACATGTGAATAATGTGAAGATAGCTGACACTGCCAGACCAGAGCATCAACCCGAGTCACACTACGGGAAGTACAGACACACACACACACACACACAGACACACACACGGCCTGCTGTGGGAAGGTACGTGCCCCCGCCCCCCGCTGCCCGTGACCCGCCAGGCTGCCCCGTGAGGAGGTGCATACATTAAGCGCGTCACACACAAACCCAATGCCCGCTTTCAGAAACTGAACAGCTGTTACATTATATGACGTGAGGAAGTCAGGCCTGTGAGCAGAAGAGGCTGATCTGAAGAAACGGGCAGGAAAAGAAAACAGGAAATTCCACAATTCCTGAGAGGAACGTTGAATCTACTGAGGAATTCCCCCGATAGCCAAACAAGCCTGTATGCTGCAACCATCAAAGCTGTTCATCGTATTTAATAGGCTGGGTTATTAGGGTGGAGCAGATGCTGTTCTCGGGAACCATTTTCCCTCCTACTGCCGTCTCTAATGCCAAATACACTTATTTATTACCTGGTTATTGCCGTTCTAACTTCTAGAGAACATACATACAGCCTCACCAGTTTCAAACCGGGTTTTATGGCAAATTCATCTCTGGGTGTTTATGCCTCGACGTAATAACAAAACCTGCGTCTCCACTCACTCTTCATCTGTCCGGTCAAAGGCTGGAGAGAGTCCGTCAAGGTTTCTGAGGTCACTCGACAGAGAGTCCATATCCTGCTCGAAGCGTCTGAGGAAGTGGAGAGAGAGAGAGAGAAAGAGAGATGCGTCCAGTGAACTTCTCATAAGACATGCTGAGATGTGAAATTTTCACTGAATGTGTCCACATTCCCCCCTAATGTTACAGCTTCGTACCTCCTGTGGTTTTGGGCCTCAAGAGAAGCGTACGGGCTGCTCCGAGCCACCACCCTCACTAGCTGTCTCCTGGAGAACATCGAGCCCCCATCCTGCTGGCCCACGGTGCGGATGAGTCGGGGCACCTTCTTGGTGGCTGATTTAGGGGTGCGCTGGGTGACCCGTTTTGGGGTCACAGTTGGGGGGCCCACGACAGAGCCGTTCCGAAGGCCGCTGGGAGACTTACTGGGTGTCACCACCAGACGCTCCCTGCGCCCCACCCGTTTCTTCTGAAGCTTCTGTGGGGGGTGGGAGGGAGGGACATTTTACCACGGAAAGAAACGGAATCACGCAGCTTGAATATGTATGAATGTATATGTAAAAAAGGAATTTCTATTACTTCCTTTGCGTTTATAAAACAAAAACAGGTTAATCTGCATCTTAAATGTAAACTACGGCAGACATCAATGATGAATGCTGGCGTGATTTTGCGCGGACCTGGCAGACGCTTCCGAAGGAGTTACAGGCGCTGCGTGTGAGCAGGCGGACGGCGCTCGGCTTTCGGCTGTCCTGCGCCGGCTCCCAGCTGCGCTTCTCATCCGTGTTTGATCGCACCGGCTTCAGGGGCAGGCGTTTCCGCAGGGACATCCGCAGCGAGTTCAGGGATGAGCCGGAGCGGAGCTTTTTGAAGCGGTCCGGGGCTTCGGGGGACGCGTCCCCATCCGACTCGCTGAGGAGCATGTGGGCTCTCCAGCCGCCGACAGCCCTCGCAACGCCCTGCACCGACGACATGCCGATCACCTACGGAGAAAGTCTAACATTAAATTCTGCATCTCATCACAAAATTAAATTAACCCACGGATACATTATGAAACAATGCAGGTATGATTGGTATCCAAAGCATTTAACAGACTAACAGCCATATGCTGGCCGGGCTGCCGATTTGCCCTCACGCCATCAAGCAGGGCAAAAGTCCCGCAGAACTGATTTATTGTTCCTGGGAAACACTTTGAATGATACAAAATGCATAAAATTAACCGTCGAATAACAGTAATTTTTCTAATACAATATTCATTCCGATTAACGCTTTTTACGTACCTCAAATCCCTCTGCATCCAAAAATGAAAAAGGAGTGAAAATTAACTTTAATGTAAACTTCACTATTTGAATTCCCCCCCGGTTGGCTCCTCCCCGTGTTCGGGTGCTGATTGGCTGTGCAGATCCATGGCCGCTCATGATTGGTCCTTTCTATTATCGTTATGTAGCGGTCCATCTCCAGTGTCCTGCAATGCTGACGTCATTCTGCATCGTGTTACTGTGCAGTCAATCCCATAACTGGTATAATCTATACCAGGGGTCACATACTTTTTGAAACTGAGAGCTACTTCACGGGTACTGAGCCATACGAAGGGCTACCAGTTTGAAACGCCCTCCCAAACTTATCTGATCTTCTCTAAACTAAATGTATAATAAATATGTTTTAAATCATTTTTATATATATATTGTCATTTTCAAATCTATATAAATGCAAATGTGATTAAAGAAGAATAGCAACAGGATAAAATAAAATTTTAAGTGGTGAGTTGTGCTATTTTTAGAACAGGCCCCAGGGCGACTCGTGGTCCTTGAGGTCATCCTAGTGCCCGCGGGCACCATGTTGGTGACCCCTGATCTATACAATGCAACCCTGTAGTTAGAAGATGGATGGATGATATGTGTTATACACAATATGTAGTGATGACGTGTTTTTATTTTAGGGTCACTCGATATCGCTGATCCGTTTATTTAAATGTCCCAAGGGCGTAGATTTGCGTAGGGACATGTAATTACCAATAGTGTGGTAGTACCGTGTGTGTTTTGGAGGCTGGGGAGTTCGGGGCTGATTTGGTCCCTACCAGTGTTGAAACTAAACTTACGTCCTTGAAATGTCCAGTCGGAGAAACGTTTGGTAATCTTCATTAGCACAGTGACATCAGTGTCCTCAAACGTCCAGATAGAGCTATAGTACTAACACTATTTCCATCCGTCTGCTAACCGCTTATCCTGGGCAGGGTTACAGGGCAATAAACACATGAACCTATACGTGAGGTGGCCGCGGGGCACGCAGGCTGCCCTCCCTGCTTGACTCTGCCTATCACGTACAGTAGCTGTATGTTTGTCCATCAGCAGTCAGGAAACCTGCTCCGGGATGTTTGTGTGTTCGGCTGCTGCTCAAACTCGCACGGCAAGCTGAGGCAGATCTCGAAACCTCTTTAGATCTCACCACGTTACCACTGTCGGCGCAAGTTTTCTGACATCTGGGAATGAAGTTTGCTGTTAACTTTGTAAGAAATAACATTGGCGGGGGCGGGTGCTTGAATTTACCGAACTTTTCGGTCAGCTGGTATATGCTTCACAGGTGTGGCAGATCCACGGGCTGATGGCAATGCAGCGATGTCTCCACACTGTAAGATTTCTGAAAGTTTAGTATCTGGTTGCGAAGGCTCTGTAGTCTGGACCTCAGCATGGATCTTTGTGCTTATAAATATTGAATATCTTATTTATATATAAGGACTGAACGTGTTCATAATCCAGAGAACAAATGTGAAGCTCCGCAGTCCAGGTGCAGGTGAGGGGGTACTGAAGTCCTATGGTTCCCATGGCAACAACTATTGCACCATCACCCTTTCGTGGGTGGCAGGTGAGGGTGACGCAGCAATAACAGCTGACATATGCTGCCTGCTGTGCACAGCATGGATCCCGTGTTCCAGATGGATCTCCTGTCTTGTTATAGCGCCCCCTCCAGGAGAAGCTGTGTTTATCAATCCCCAACCAGTTTAACACACTTGCCAGTAGTCACTTTAATGCCCCCCTTTGGCTCAAACTAGGCCCTGAGTAATTCCATCTGGTTTTATAAGGTCGTTTCTCTCATCACTACCACATCCATGATTACCCGAGCCGTGGCTCTCAATCCAGGTCCTGACAGGTTACAGTCTTGCAAGGACACAGAGCATCAGCGCCGAGAGCAAATCGGAAAGATACAAATATGATTGCGTTTTGTTTTTGAACACAAGGAAAGAAAGTAGGATTATAAATACGTTATTGAAAAGAAACTATTAATTTTTGTAACCATACATTCAATTAAAGAATTGATTACAATCAAATTAAATGTTCAATTACGCTTTTTGTTTGAGTGCCTTGGGGCACTTAATTGCACATCTCGTTAATTAGCACGAAGGCTGCTTTGCTTTGATCGTTTGCTTAAAGGGCACAGAGTAACCAAATTAATCTTGGCTGAATAAATGGCCCCCACCCAGCAAGATTCGCTGGCAAAGGATGTCGTTGTAGCCGATATTTCGACTTACCGGCAAATGCCGGCAACATAAATATTAAACAAAACCGCTATATCAAAGGTAATTCATTGAGCGCTTGGAGGGAACTAACCGTCTTTCCTGAGGACTCGCGGCAAATGGATTATATAGCCTAGTACTAAAAATGAAAAATTAATCATCAATATCCATGGAATGTAGAATTACTGAATTTCTACAGTTACGCTTTAATTATTAGTTGATTTATTCATGGAACATGAGCCGGTCATTTTGTGTTCTAATTATAATACTGGCTTTAAACACGGACGAGCTACGTTATGACGATCCAGCCAGTCTTTCAGGTCTAACTCTGGACGCCTCCTGGTTATTGATTCTAGTCTCACCCCAGGCCGGAGTGTAAAGACCTTGCGAGTATCCTAGTCTTTATTGGATTTCTTCACGTTATGTTCTGCCTGAACTGCCCCGAGTGCCTCACCGTCTCCTGTAAACCCGAACGGAAAATCGACTATTTCTATTTCTTCTCCGTTTTTTTGTGGAAAGATTAAAGTCGTGTCCTTATACCGAAGTGAACATTTTAAGTGAACGTTTATTTTCTATGACATTTAAGACCTCATTTTCTGGATTTTTTTCCCGTAACATTGAGACTTTTCAAACTGCGCTGTTATCCTTCAAATCTTACTCTTTTGGAAGAGCTGTAAGACTATGCTTTCGCACTGCATTATTATGCAATAATTTCTGGTAGGAGACCAGTTCGTGTCTAAGGACCAGCTCCTACGGACAACATATGGAACAACTGCGACATCTGGCGGTAAATAATGATTTGATGTGAGTGAAAGAATCTCTTAACTCCTTTCGATTTTTTGCAAAAGTACAGGTACATTGGAATTTGTCTCTTTGCCCACCCCGTCTTGCTCTGCATAGCTTGGGGGTCACAGTGCAGGGTCAGGCAATGTGTGGCACCCCTCGAGCTGGGGGTTAAGGCCCCTGCTCAAGGACCCACAGATAAGTGACAATTTTGCCAAGGCTGGGGCTCAAACAGGTGATTTTTCTGAACACAGACACAGAGGCTTAGGCCGCTAAGCCACTCTCCACCCCCAGGTTTGACTTTGTCCGTTTTTTGTGATAAAATTCTTAAGGACAGTTCTAAGGTTCGTAAATCAGAAATGTCAGTCATTTCATTTCTCACGAAACAAGTTTTTAGAGTCATAACTGACATTTATAAATATAAATTTGTAGCCACAGCTGTCGACAAGGTCAAACTGGCTTTGCAAGGACACGTTATTTGAGGTGCAAGTATGTGATTTGCTAATAAGCTCTGCTGCTTTAAGCAGAAATACTCACATTCTCATTTTAAGTAGGCTTTTCATGCTGCCAAATTCCAGCTACTGAACAAAAGAATTCATTAGTCAAGACTAAGAAACAGCATTTTTGGCTTGACTTCTAGTACACCGGTGCAGGGTGAGGGGGTGTTAAAGGACCTGAGAAATGCTGACAGAGTGGGATCACTCAGAATTTATCTTTCCAAAACAGAGCAACCTCAGATGAACCACTTTCACAAAAATCTGTTTCAGACAAAGGTCCAGGCTGGGCAGAAAATGGCTGTGCTGGGACACTGCGTCACATTCACTGGAGAAGATAACAGGCCACATGTCCTGTGCAGACCCACTGGGAAGGAGATGCAGGGTCTAGCAGACAGTTAGGTCACCAAGTGAAAAGATAACTAGCGTGTTACACGTTAGAACATGGGGACCTACTTACATTGTGGAGGGAGGCCACTTACTGAACAAGAATGTAAGTGCAAAGGTTGGTTAAATCTAACTGATGTTAATGTTTGACCTTTTATTCTAAATGTACAGTATTGATATATGGACCGGAACTTTTCCATAAGTCATAAGACTCTGCACTTTCACATGTTACATGACACTGCATTTTCCTAATAAATGTGGTGATTTCAATTATAGTTTTTATCAAATGTCATTCCCTGGTACCAGATTGATTCTTCATTACGTAACAAAAAAAAGCACAGGCTGATGATTGAGACTGTATGTCCCTTTGCATGTCATATTTGGAGGCTTCCATGATTGATGCTACATCATATAAATTCTGCAGATTCAGCCTTTTGTCACGTCTTTGCATTATCATGATACATGTCCCGTCGCTCGAAACCTGTCTTTTGCTTCCAGGAGACCGGAACTTCACAGGCCTGTCAATAAACATGCAAGCGTGGACGAGCGAAGACCGTTTCTGTGTGTTTTGTAACATTAGCTTACCCTTTAATCAGTCACGGGACTGAATGTAAGGTCAAAGGTCGTCAGTCGAGGATCTAGTGCAGGGTTTTGACGTTATCTTCCAAATGATTATAAGAATGATTAAAAGCACAGGATGGAGTGTCCATCTTCGCGTGGGTCTGAGATTAGCCGGACATGAGGACGGGCTGCCGGCCCCGGCTTCTGGGAGTTCAGAGACGGAGCAGAGAGGCGTGAAGTTGGGTGGAGTGATGAGTCGCGTGCCGCCTCCTTTAATGAATAATCGCCTTAATGTTTGGCTGGGGGAGGCACAGCCCTGCACTGCACAGGCACCCTCCGCGGGACCGACATGAGCAGCAGCGCACAGACCCCAGATGCGGACTGGCCCCCAGGGACCGCGCGGAGGAGCGACCGGCTGTTCCGCTGGCGCTGGGCAAGGCGCTGGGTACCCCTGCTCTACCGTGAGGAATTTTACGAAGTTCTGTGCCTCACTGGACCCCTGGTAAAGTTTAGCCGTGCCTTCCTCACTCTGAGAGCGGGAGAGAGAGACTTTCAGCAACGCGGAGAGTGTGCTTGCTGGTTTCCTCTTCCTCATTCAACATGAATTGCTCAGTTTAGGTCACTGTTTGCTTCTCCTGATATTCCAGCTGTTTAACATTCAGTTATTCAAAGTCAACTTTATTTAATTGTCATTGTGTTCATGCACCACAAAATGAGGCTATTTAGAGGAGATTAAGATCCTACGAGCCCAGTATACCCCAGGCCAGGACCAGTTAAGCGTTAAGCGGTCAATCATGTGATTCGACATGAACGACCTTATTGACGTGAGCTGAATGATCTTCTGACCCCCACTTGTGTGACGTCTGTTGTGTCTGGAGGGTCCATACAGCCATTCCCCGTGATCCTCCCGAACTCCACCCTGGGCGTCCCTCGTCCCCCGCCACTCCAGCACCCCACAGCATCCGCACATATCGCTGCAGATGGTCTGTTTTCTCAAATGCACTCACTCTTTTCCTAGCTGATATCCCGGATCCTTCATTTCCTGCTCTCATTTGTCATCACATTATTCTGTGGTCGTCTGGGGAACACAGAGCTGGCTGGCTATGCCCTGGCCTCAGCGGTGAGTCCCCCCCCCACCCCCCCACTGTGTCCTCATTTTCCTGCCTGTTTCTCACAGTGTGATTTTTGGGAGGCCCCAGCANAGAATGATCCAAAGCCTTGATGAAATACTAATGTTTCTTTTTTTTCCCAGACCATTAATGTCACTACTGCAGCCACGGGAGGCGGCCTCGCCCTGGCTTGTGACACACTGGTGTCTCAGGTACCGGTGTTTCTCTGTGGTTGGCTCATGGTACCAGGCCTGAGTTAGCGTAGCTCATGTGCTAGGCCTGGGTTAGCTTAGCTCAGAGACCTGCGATTACTACTCACCACTATCTCCCTCTGTCAACCCCAGACTTACGGGGGGAAGAATCTGAAGCGCGTGGGGGAGGTGCTACAGCGCAGCATCCTGATCCTGCTGCTCTTCTGCCTCCCGTGCTGGAGCCTGCTCATCAACACTGAGTCCATCCTCCTCCGCCTGTGGCAGGACCCCCAGGTGGCCCGGTGAGTGACTGAGGCCCAGTGTCCAGCCGTAAGTTGTCAAACGTGGGGACCCCGGGGGTACTCTTTCCATAATTTTTTCTGTTGAGTCATCAAATTCTTGACTCAAGTCCAAGTCGAGCTGTGGGTTATGTAACTTGAGTCCCTATCTATGTCACTTTTTTTTAGTGATTAAGACTTGCTTCAGCAAAAACCCACCACAGTATGTTATAGATTAAGTCCTTCATAGACAGAGAGAGGTTGAAAAGAGAGTATCCACTCCATCAAATTTGTCCTCACACAGTTTTTATGTCCGTGTATATGCAGGAAGTGATTCATATTTCCAACAAACTATCTCAGGAGACCTTGCATTCAGCCAAATTAAAATACAGACAGCAGCAAATTAATATACCCAAAAATTATAAAAATTAACATTATGGTATCCAGAGGGGGACTATAACCTCAAGGCTTCTCGAATCATAGGGTCTAAGTCAGGTCCAAGTCTTAAGTCATCTGCCCGTCTTGCCAAGTCGAGTCACAAGTCATCAAATTTGTGAAATGAATTCCAGTCGAGTTGTGAGTCAGTGATTCGAGTCCCCACCTCTGCAGCTGCCTGAGGCTTTTTCTCTTGATTCTCTCTGTATTAATACACATTCAGGTACACCCAGCTGTACATGATTGCGTTCCTGCCTGCAGTACCGGTGAGTCCATATGAGATAGGTTTAGCTTCAGAAGAAATGGGCCTTGTCTTCCAACAGGCTGTATTTTGGTTCAGTGATACTCTCTCTCTCTCTCTCTCTCTGCAGGCATTGTTCCTCCATCAGTTACAGGTCTCTTACCTCCAGAATCAGGTAAATGAGCTCCTACAGCCACCACTAATCATAATGCTTCAACAGTAAACTGTTTAGCAAACACAAAAGCAATCCTAGGAAGATGGGAGAAAATGTACAGTAGTGTCTGTTTTTCAGTCATATTTGAAAAAGACAAAAAGAAAATGAGATCCTGACAGTGTATTGATGGAACATGCTGAATCCAGGAATGAGAAATCGGCTTGAGAATCCCATGGGGGCTTGAGTCCCGGATATTAATCTCATGGGAGCCTTAGAGAAGTCTTACGAAACGGCCTTGGGGGCTGTTAGACGTCAGCCTCTTCATTCTTTATTGACCTTTACCTTGCATCAAAATGTTGTTTTAGGATAAATTATTCAGGGAAGAAGGTACTTTACTGAGCTCTTGATTGAAATTCAGTCTTGGCTGAAAAATGTAAATTGTTACCTGTGGTATTTCCCCTTCCAGGACATGAATTTAATTAAGCCACTAAAATCATTTGGATCACAGCGTGTTTATGGGCCACGACAGTCCCCCTTATGCAGAGATAATGTCAACACTTATGCTCCGATGATGTTTGTGTGCTCAGGGTATAATCCTGCCGCAGATGTATACTGCCGCAGCTGCAAACGTCCTCAACGTGGCAACGAACTACATCCTGCTGATCTGGCTGGACTTGGGAGTGAAGTTAGTGCTTTCTCTTACTTCCATTTATTCTGCAAACTATTAACATGCACTTACATGATGTGTGGCTTCCACTTACAACCAGTAGGTGGTGCTGTGGTTAAGGGCCAGATCCTGAGTTCTGCAGCCATATGATTTTGCTTTGAAAGAAATTGTTTCCTGAATATCCAGACATAGAAATGGACCTTTGAGTATAGGATTAGGTAAATGAAATTCTGCAATAGAAGTTTTCAGAAGGGGACACACGTGAGCAAACTGCAGTTATGAGCTGTAACAGTAGGAGTGGTTCATCTGTGTGACAGGGGCTCGGCCGCGGCCAACAGCCTGTCTCAGATCTACATCCGCTGGAAGCAGCTGCACAGGAAGACATGGGCAGGTGAGCAGACTGCACTCGGCACACACAGACACTGACTCTGACACGTCCAGCCACCCGCCTGTTTCTATGGGCTGATAGGTATGTGTCACATGACCTCTTAGCGGCCAATAGGGTGAAATGGTCACCAGGTAATTTACCTCCAAATGGTGTGGCTGAGGAGGCCTGATACGTTCGTAAACATCGACGTTTTCATCTCACTCGTGCCTGAAAGAAATATTCACTTAGAAAACTGAACTCAGGAGGCAGCCGCTTCGGAAACGACTCCTCCAGCTCCTGCAGCGTATCTCCATCGGTTGCAAAACTGCGGCGGACCCCACTGGGCACCATCCCGCTAACCCCTGTCCCTCGAACCCCCCTCCCAGGCTGGTCCAGTGCCGCATTGCAGGAGTGGGGTGCCTACATGAGGCTGGCCCTCCCCAGCACACTTATGCTCTGCTTTGAATGGTGGCTCTACGAGATTGGAGGATTTCTGGCAGGTAGGGAGGAAGGAGCCCTGAGGTCAAAGGTCAAAGGGCATGTTGTCTTCCCAAGCTGTCCTCAGGCCAGTCAGATTTAATTGACCAACATTACATCATAGTCTTGACTGGAAAGCCAGCATCACTGCAAAACACATGACTGTGTCTCTTCCTTCGCTCTTTCTATCACAAGGCATGCTGGGAGAGCTGGATGTGGCAGCCCAGCACATTGTCATCACCCTGGCGTTCGTCACCTACATGGTACGTCTGTTAGCACTGCCGCTAACGCTAATGCCCAGATCACAGTGAAGCCACATTTCCTAAAGGGTGTGTTCCGAAATGCTGCCGAATTCTAGCTTTGCTGCAGAGGTACTTTTACGTCCCTGAGCAGGGGTCGAGTTGGGGGGCACATTTTGAGTGCAGAGGGACTGGGCCATGTTGACACCAGACATCTCATTTACCTTTATCTCTGACTGAGAAATGGAGAGTATCTGGAGACCATTTCATGCAGATTTGATGAGGATAAAGAGAATCTTTGTTCTCAGAGGCATTCCAGTGAAGCAGCTGGCAGTTGTGTCATCAGTTTCGTGCATGTTGCCCCTGCAGTTCCCGCTGGGCGTCCAAGTTGCTGCCTGCTTCCGAGTGGGGAATTCACTGGGCGCCGGTGACACCGCGAGGGCCATCGTCACCAGCAAAGTGTCCCTGATTCTGGCGGGTGAGGAGCAACACTCTCTCTGCCCCCATGCTCCTCCTGCTTCCCACTCACATCCCGCTCACATCTCGCTCACATCCCGCACACATCCGGCAATTACGCGCCCCTATCTATGCTGCTCCATTCAATTTCACAGCAGATCCATTCATCTGCTTGGGCCCATTTAACTTCCAGGGTCTCTGCTGAAAGGGAAATCGGAAGCTCTGGTAACGGGGGTTCAATTTGCAGCCGGTCTAAATCTTCACCTTTGTAAGATTGAAGCCTTTTCTGAGTGTTTCTGTCTGCAAGAAACTCATAATCATAGACTTCATATGAGGAATCAAGGCGATATGCATTTGTTTTTCTAACAAATTCCTGCTATCATCTACATTTTTGCTAGTAGATGTTTTTCTTCCTTTGAAACGTTTTTTCCTTCGACTTTCCCCAGGCATCTTCGCGGTGTTTGAGGGTATCATCCTGGGCTCAACAAAATCAGTGATCGGCTTCATTTTTACTGCAGACAAGTACGTTTGGTGACTTCACTGTAAACTATTAAAATTATGTAAGTTTGAAGTGAATGAAATATGTCCTAATGTTTGTATTGTAACTGGTCCTGTAATGTGTCTGTCTGTGTGTCTGTCTGTCCATCTTTGTGTCTGTGTGTCTGTCTTTTTGTGTGTATGTGTGTCTGTGTCTGTCTATCTGTTTTCCTGCCTGCCTGCCTACCTGTCTGTCTGTCTGTCTGTCTACTTTCAGGGCCATTGTGGAGCTGGTCTCTCAGATTTTAAGTGTCTACGTGATCCTGCAGTTTTTCGATGGCCTTGTGGTAGGGAATAGTTTTTATTATTGTCTTCATTTTATATTTCAAACCCCTTCAGTTAGCATCTAAGTGTAGCTCATTCATATAGTTTTCCTTTTCTTATTTGCTTAAACAGATGTAAAAATGTTACATATTTCTTATAGTAAAAACAATGTGAAATATAATACATATCGGCATAATCTCTTGTCAAAGTATTTTTGGTAAACATAAATAAAATTTAGATGAGAAATATTTGAAGGAATACATTTGAGCTTTGTGCTTAAATATAAAACAAAAAGCTCTCACCCAAGGTTTTGGTTAAATCTGAAGTTAATCCCCCCCGGGCTCCTTTTTGCTTGTTCATACTGTTTATAATTGATTCCCCCCACACACACACACACACTGGCGTCCTGCATCATATCTGAGAGAGATGAGAAATATCCTGTTATGGAGATGAACCAGTATAGCATGTAACCTCTGGGATCATTACACTGTAACCCCTGAACTTTAACCCTGCCCTGTGGAACATTATTCATTACAGTGTAACCCCTGACCTTTAACCCTGCCCTGTGGGACATTATTCATTACAGTGTAACCCCTGACCTTTAACCCTGCCCTGTGGGACATTATTCATTACAGTGTAACCCCTGACCTTTAACCCTGCCCTGTGGGATGTATGTGGGTTCTGTCCTCAGTGTGTTAGTTTAGGTATCATCCTGGGGACTGGGAAGCAGAAAATAGCAGCAGGGGCCAATCTCATTGCTTACTACTGCATCGGTCTGCCGCTGGGCGTCTCCCTCATGTTCAAGGCCGGCCTCCGAGTGCCTGGTACGCCCCACCCTTCGTCTCTCACTGAGCCGTCAATAAAGCCACCTGCATACTGCTTTAACTTTTAGAAACCTGCACACACATCCTCCATCATGTTCAGTAGGGCATGTTTAGGAGAGCATGTTTGTTCTCAGGTTCTGAGCCTTTGACAGCAGCAGAACCTCCAGAGGGGTTTGGGGGGCATCTGTGACCCCTCTTCCCTATGACCCCTCTTCCCTATGACCCCTCTTCCCTGTGATCACCTCTTCCCTATGACCCCTCTTCCCTGTGACCCCTCTTCCCCATGACTTCTTCTTCCCTGTGACCCCTCTTCCCTGTGATCACCTCTTCCCTGTGACCCCTCTTCCCCATGACTTCCTCTTTCCTGTGACCCCCTCTTCCCTGTGACCCCTCTTCCCCATGACCTCCTCTTCCCTGTGACCTCCATTCCCTGTGACCCCTCTTCCCATGACCTCCTTTTCCTCATGACCCCATCTTTTCTGTGACCCCTCTTCCCCATGACTTCCTCTTCCCTGTGACCCCCTCCTCCCTGTGACCCCTCTTCCCCGGGACCTCCCTTCCCTCTGACCCCTGTTCCCTATGACCTCCCACAGGCATGTGGCTGGGACTGCTCATCTGTGTCATCCTGTTGTCCAGTTTTTTTATCTTTGTTCTCATCTTCAAGTTCAACTGGGTGAAAATCACAGAGGAGGTAGGACACCCCGGACTCCTCCCCCTCTGACCTCAGGGTGTCAGTTGACACACAATTGGATCCAACGTGTCATTTTATACAAACTTTGTGAGAAAAGCCAGATTGGCCACTCTCTTTGTCTTCAGGCCAAGGTGCGTGCTGGGAAAAATGTTGGAAATAGGAGCATGGACAGGAGGCTGGCCGACGGCGTAATCCAAGACAGCCGTACTATCCCTGAAGACGGCCACACGGTGAGGAATGCCCCCCTTTCTGACCTCTTACAGTGAGGTCACTCCCTGAAGCGTGCAGTGTGCACACTTACCTGTGTGCTTTTACCTTCAGACACTGTCAGCGACACCTGCGAGCCACACAAATGGCTACATCGCTGTGAGGAACCAGGAGCAGGGCGTGGCAACGGTGGGGCCAGAGGACGGGAGCCCTGCAGTCCTCCTCTCTGTCCCTCAGCTGCTTTTCCGCAGGGGTTTGACTCTGCTGGCTGCCCTCCTGATACTCGCTGCTGGGCTGACCGTCCATCTCACAGTGCCAGTCCCACTGCTGCTCCTGGAGAGCAATCTCACCCTGGCAGTAGATAACACCTCCGCTCCCACCGTGCTACTGAGCCCCACAATGTTTACGTAGAGCAGGACTTACTGCCGGCGCCCTCTGGTGGACAGAATTCACAGTGCAGACACACACTTCATAGAAGCATAACTTCACACCAGTCCAGGAATTCATGTCAATAAATTGAATGACTCAGAGATGTGTCAGTTTTAAATTTGAAGTGCGCTATATTTAGTCCTTCTACATTTTTATGGTTTTATCTAATTGCTGTATTGTTGTTAATCACATAATTATTACTGCCAGAAGATACCATGGCTTTGTGCCTGTTAAAATCGATTGGACCGTCATTGTACCTCATACAGTTATTTTTCCTGATTTTAAACAATGTGTTTTTGAATAATTGAACCATTCGTCATGTGTCAGGTGCCGTTTGATTATACCTTAGCTCATCTTAATTGTAGGGTATCATCTGCTCGCAAAGAAGCCTTCCTATTCCCTGCATTCTCTGCTTGGTTTGTTATGTGCAAAACACAGGAAAACTGAGGCAAACAGCTTTTGAGCTTCCAAATGCTGCCTCTGGCTTTTCCCTCATTAAAGTTCTCTGAGAGGATAAACCCTCACACTTTATTTTAACTCAGATACCATTTCCAGTAGATTATGAATAAAATCCAAAGGCATGTAATTATCATATATGTCCTCCAGGCTGGACAGTCAACATGATCATTCTGTGACATCACAAAAGCAAAGATTGAAGGCCATTAATGTTTTTCTTGTTAGAAGGAACAGGTCATTAAAAACTCACCGGTTAAACTGAGTTAGAGAATAGATGACAAAGTGCTTAAAAAGCAGTGCGAGCGGGTGGGAGGAGGAGTAGTGGCAACGCCATTTCCGTCCATGCGGCCGGGGCATCGGACAGGTATGTATTCCCTGCCAGACCCCACCCTATTTAATTCAGTGCCAACCTAAGTGGGGGGCCCAGAATTTCTAGGTGTTCCCCTCCTCTAGCAGTTATTCACGGCCCACTGGCCAACCACTAGCTTACCCTGATCCATCCAATCACCTTGAGGCATTTAGAAAGGGTTACCTGAGTTTGGCATGTTCTCCTTAACCATTGGCTTTTGGTCTGGGTTGGACCTTCTTAGGGTTTGTGTTTAGTGTTCAGGTGGTGCTTTGTGTAGTAGCTGGTCTACATGGCTCCTTTAAGACCCTCAGACAGCACCTCCCCCACTAAGTTTGACATCAGGTAAGACATCAGTACACCACCTGCACATGGAACAGTCTATGTCACTGAGGTGAGCAGCACAATTTAACATCCAACTGAACCCAACAGCATGGCTTGCTGGCCAAGTGGGTCAGTCCCCTGTGTTAAAGACCTGTGTCCTCAGCTTAGGGAACCACATTCCCGGCGGCGACCTCATATCTGTAGTGTGCTGATTATTGCTAAAATTACACTTATTGTCAAATTGTGGAAACACTCCCAGATTGCAGAACTTTATTCCCACAAATTTGGCCACTAGCATACATGCATGTGTCTTCTAACCATTTATCCTGGGCAGGGTCACTGGGCAGCGCAGTATGCCAACACAGAAATGCCAGTTCACTGTAGGCCTTATACACTGTAAGCCATCCAGAGGCACCATTCAGCCTAACTGTGTGTCTTTGGCCTGTGCGAGAAAACCTTCCCAATAAACATGGAGCAGAAGCTTTAAACCCCCAAAGCTGGAAATGTGAGATGACGCCAGGGGTCACTGCGCCCCATGCATTTCATTCTAAAACTGAAGTAGTAATTAATGATCTGCTCATTACTGGGATTAACCAAAACTGTGAGGAGCGTCACTACAGGCACCTACCAGCATATTCTTACAGACAACTGCAGCAAATATCATCATACAGTTACAGGCACTGTACATGCACTGCTATCACATGCACTGCTATCACATGCACTGCTATCACATGCACTGCTATCACATGCTACTATTACCCAGTTAGCAAATCCCTGAGCTAGCAGCCTCCCGTTTACACTGGGCGGTCTGGGCTTGTTATCCACTCGAGAATGCACTTGGTGCAGAAACAAAGTAATCACAGCCCACTGCTGTCACCCTGATTGGTTTTCCCATCATCTTCCTAATACTCGGCTGATGAGAGAGAGCATTTAATTAGCAATTCACATCCTCCAAAAACAAGTGCCTGCCGTGGATGCTCATTGTGTAGCAGTAAATGCAATCACATCATTATTCCTAAATGATTTATTTCGGTTGCCGTCTAACAAGTGTGTTTTCTCTGCAATCACCCTAGTTCCATTATACCAAGGAGCTAAACATTTCGCATCATCCCAGGATTCTGATAGGATCACGGCGAACTTGAGCTTGCTTTAATATTTCTGTTTTTGTCTGTTTGCTAGTTTCCCCTGCCTGTCCCTGAGGGCAGCGCACAATATTGATGAGGACAGAATGTGTGCAGACGCCAAGCATAAACTCACCGTGTGGGAAAGTGCATAATTGTGGATTTCACGAGAACAGTGTGAAGCAATTGTAAACGAATGTAAGCAAAGACCAAAAGAAGAGGTAAATGCATTGTGTTCTGATAGTTCTTCATAAGACACAAGCAACCAAAATGTTCATCTCATATATCCAGACAGCATGATCTGTGCTAAAAGTGTACAGCAGGAAAAACAGAAACGTAATCTGCTAGGGTGTGTTTGGAGCCCACTTGAGGTTTTTGTAAGTAGCATCAGTAAGGTATTTCCCATAACCACCAAGTAAATGTTCTATAGCTATCGCACTGTGGGCGCACTGGTGCCTCTGAGGCTAGGGATCTGTACCAGCAATCGGAAGGTTGCTGGTTTGAATCCTGTGAATGCCAGGAGTAATCTTACTCTGTTTGGGCCCTTGAGCAAGGCCCTTAACCTGCAGTTGCTTCGTCCTGCGTATGACATTAATCTACATCCAGCCCTGCAAGGAGGTCCTCCAACTTCCAGGGAAATTTGGGGGTTGGTGGCAGGATTGGCACTCCAGCAATCAGGAAAAAAAACTCACCTGAGGTATCACCCACTGCACGGCTTTACTGAGTTTGTTCTGTGGTGGGTACAGCAGCACACGCTCCTTACCCCTCTCTCATCATGCTCTTATTAGGTTCCATCCTAATAAAATCTAAGAGCAGCAGCCATGTCACAAAGCCAACTGGACAGAAACTACACATTTTTATTTTACAGAGAAATTGAAAAACAACAAAACAGGCAATTTAACTTTCAAACAAATTATAAGAGGATCTGTCTGTCCTTAACCTCCATGCTCCCTCCGGTTCTTCACTCTTTCCTCTCCACACATTGGGGGGAAAAAAAAAAATCGGAAAAATGGGAAAGAGGGAGGATTACCCTCCAATGTAAATCAGTCAGACTGCTTTATCCCACCCCTGCTGGTCACATGTCAGCTTGCATTGGCTTAACCCTGTGTGGTTGGCATCACAGGGCCCCACCCACCACATGTTTCAAGGCTTCTTTCCTCCCACCCTAAAGGGGCGTGGTCTTTCACTTGGAGGCGGTGCCACTGTGCTGCTGCTGCTGCTGCTGCTCCGCCAAGGCCTGCTGCAGCCGCATGCGCTTGCGTGAGTAATGCTGCCAGTGCAGGAGCTGCTGCTCGTCTATGAATTTGGCACACTGAGCGTTCACCAGCTCCTTGCGGAAGTGTTCGTATTGCAGCAATTCCAACATGTGCAGACTCTGGGGGTACCTGTTGGTGATGCAGAGAGATGGCAGAACACTTAAGTACATGCTATTAAAGAATCAGCTCAATTCCAGAACATTATGTGATGAACGCTACTTACTTCAGGTACTTGGCGTATTCAGGGTCCTTCCAGTACAGGAGATACTTAAGGTAGTTCACAAATGGCTTCTCTCGCAGGTATCCCCGCTGTGCTAAAACTGAAAAGAAAACAAAAAACACAATTTAAAAACTCAGTCAGAAAAAATTAGAGAAAATGCATGGCACTGATGACAGAGCGTATTTTGTGGACCGTTCCTTACTCAATGCCAAATGATGGCAGTAATTTTCCAGATGTGAACAGCAGCCCAAAAGTCTACAATTTTAACTAATCAGACTTAGCAGCAGTTTGACCAGAGGCGGACATTTCAGGTTCAGGAAGTACAAGTCCAGGCCAACGCTTTGTTTCAACCATCCAGTTGAACATAAAGAGTCACAGACAGAGTACTTAACTGGGCGGTTGAAACAAAATCTTGGTATGGATTTTTACTGTCTGGTCCAGAAATGTCTACCTCTAGGTGTGACCAACAAACAGGTGGACAGATCGACGAAGCGTTATACGTACAGTTGAGGTAATTGGGATTGGCGAGACACTGGACGAACTCGAGCTCCGACTGGAAGCGGGTCTTCGCCTGCTCTTCTGTACGAGGGAGACAGTGACGGTCACAAACATCATACATGTATGAATACTTGCAGCAGGCAAAAACCCTTTTAGTCACATAGTCTACAAGGCAATCCTTGGAGTTCATTGCCAGGTATCGCGGACCACTGAGGTTCAAACGCAAACAGATAATTATGACAGATAATAACACAAACCTGTTTCCATTACCCCGGCCATGGAAAGCAACTTTGTAGTGGATAGTCAATTACAAAAAATGATTCCAAAAGGTTATGGAAAAATTACCGAATGCTGAAGATAGGTAATTGGTGTGATCAGACTATTCAAAATACAGGATTAAAGACCATAACAAAAGAGAATGATCATCTACACCACCATTTTCCCGGAAAAATAAACTATCAGTGTAGAGCGGCGTTTTGGGAAGCGGGGACTTGATTGGATAGAACGCGGCGCACGGTGTCTTGTGATTGGTCTCGTGAAACGTGATTTCGAATGCAATCTCTCGCGATACCCTGTAAATGCCACGAGACTTTTCGCAGGTCGCATGTGTTTCCATGTGTGGCCATCAGGTGGAGACTGTCGATTGCTGATTTTGATGGACGTGCGGCGCACACAAAATACTCGCGCATCTGAAGTTGTGGTAAGAACTTGGAGTAGCATGACAAACCTGTCCGGGATCTACAATAATATGTAATTTCATCCATTTTCCCTAGTGGCAAAATTCAATTCACTAGGAAGCGCGGGAAGCCGTCTACGTGATCTTTTCGGGATGCGCTCTTAAACAAATTCTGGAAGCAAGCCCATGTTTGTGTTGATTTTTTTTACATGTTATTAATCTAATTAGCCAAAAGTTGGTGGAATGATGAGAAAGGGGAAAACAAAATTCATATTATTTAAAAAATATATCAATATATCAGTAAATATATCGATAGTGAGTAAGCCTTGTTGGAAATTGGTAACGTTTGTGTCCACTGTACAAGCATGCGGGTGAGTCCTAATACAGCTCATTTCATTCTGGGTCAGAACACCCAGCCAGACATGAACTTTTCATTCTATTCACAGGATGTACTGATGAGGTCTTCCACGGGGAGTAATTTTTCATGGTTTTCCTTTGTTGCTTTGTCATAAGGTCGATTGTTATCTAAGGTTGTTACCGTTTTGCTCTTACAAGTCTGCATATATCACTGGAGTAATTCAGGTGAAGCACATTCTCAGGGTTAGGGTGGCTAGCTCTCTATGTTGTAGCCACTATAGATCCGGAAAAGTGAAATCTGTTTCTGGGAAGAACATGTGTGTAACACCTGATGCAGTCATATGTCACAAAATATTTTAAAATGCTCACCAGACACTACATCCTGAAGCAATTGGATAGTTGGGTAGATCGTGACCCATATTTTTCACAAACTGCAACAGGCAGAACACTGTAATCACTTTTGTTAAGACACTTAAATGCTTAAACACTCGGTGACATAGGAGATAATGTGCGTGTATCTATTCCTGTGGGGCAATGGCTATTCTGACTAGCATGACAGGGCAGGGAGCGGCTTCATAATTACTTATTTCTCCCTCTGTGGGGACACCGGGTGCCAGTGAGCGAGCTGTCATGCTCACCACAGCTCCTCCGTATCTCATGCAGGCTGTGATTGTATCACTATACCAAAACAGGTTGTGTGGGCAAACTCAAGGGGAGGTATCCCACCCATTGTCATCCAGCCTTCCCCTTGTCCTGCATTTCCTCTTTGATGGACGATAACCCAGTTATGGCCTGCAGAGAGTTAGAACATTTTAGAGGTGTGAGATGGCCATCAGTGCTGTGAACACCCAGAACACTTTAAGAACAGAGAAATGGATACACAGATCCATGTTCTGAATGTGTGATCCGGAGGTAGAATAAGAGATAAGTATGAGCTGGCTGTTGACGAAGGCTTGTCATGACGTCTTGAGTGTATGATTGCAGGCTGTGTCTGGACCACGGGGAGGGTGTGTTGTGCCCTAACATCCCCAAGACCAACTGAAGAAGGGTTTAAAGTCTTAGTGACCACTTGGTGTCAGATCATCTTGTGAGGCAACACTCTGAACCAAATAGACGATGACTGGGTGGCATTTCCTGGGCTTGAGTTCTGACCTCTACGGTTGTGTCACTCCTGCACGCCGACACAGGGTCAAGCCACAGGCAGCTGGGGAAAGACTGCCGTGGTTCTTTGGTATAATGTAAGTTTAGTCATAAGTGTCCAGGGATTGTCAGCAGAATTTCGCGTTGGGAAATACTGTGCAACTCAATGCCACATCTCTACAAACAACTTATTTCCTTAATCAAACTAAATCTTGGGGTAATTTAGTTGTATTTAGTCACGCTTTGCCAACTTGTAAATATGTATTTCATTTCGTGCACCACATGTTCCTTGTGGGGGTGGGGGTGGGGGTGGGGGGGTCGCTAAGTCGCTGGTACTTCAGAAGGTGTTGCCCTTGGCAGCAGCCTGTGTCCCCTAAAGGTTTGACCTGCATTGAGGAGAAATTACAATATTTCCTTCTTAACTTGTAACAGATTTGTAACAAATTGTACCAACTGCAACAAGATAATCTGTAAGGACATTTTATTTAAAGGTTTAATTACAAAGTTGTTAGATAAATATGCATACAGTATGTGCAATTTAGTTACTTAAGACAACCATTTATTCTCTCATTTGTTTTGAATATTGAAAGGTGAAGTTCCAGCAGTAACGGGTTCCTTTATAATGGGCAATTGTATGACAAGAGAATTGAACTTAAAATATAGCCTTAAGGTGGAGAGAAACTACATCAATGAAATTCAGACTGAAATTACAATAGTGAGTTTTTGGTGTTGTCCTTTCTCCTTTGGGCTTAGGTGTAACCCGGTGTAGTTTGCAGTGCACAGACCCATTTTGGATATGGGTGAGATTGTAAGGGCAGTCGCTGCAGGGGAGGGAAGTCAGCTGCCCTTAGACTGTACGTCCGTAAAAGGACAGGCTGCACTAATTATGTGATCACTAGTACCTCATGTTTTTATTTCATATACTCAGATAGATGGGCACATATTCAGTTCACCATAAGACAATCAGACGTAAAATATGTATTTCTTGACACCTGGTACATTTGTGAACAGTTTTTAAGGTTGATAAATGTTTCTGAAACGCTATGCATAACTACGAGGAATTAAAGGAGCACAGAAATCAAAACACACCAGATATGTCCAGTTGCCACCATTACTCTGTGCAGGGAGCTGAAACGGGCAAAGGACACGGAGGATGGAGGGACCAGGGTGGGAAACGCCAGACAGAGAAAAGTTCTGGTTGATTGGCCGGTAAATTCATAATACAGAATGTCAAATGCTTATAAACCTCACTGCTGCTGTGATCTGAACGGGGTATTTTCTAAACCAGGGGTGTTGGTTAAGAAAAGCTCTTGAACCAAGTAATTTATGGCAGAACAGGGAAAGAACTAAGCTACACAGGACTCTGCCCCCCAGGACTGGAGTTTGACACCCCTGGTCTAAACTATTCAACTTTATACAAAGTCATTTATAAAAATATAATACCAAATATTGTGGGATTCACTCAACCTGAGTACAAGTGTCAGCGTTGAACTCCTTGTATCCTCATGACTAGCGTGCTTGATCACTGCACTGCCTCCTTTCACGATGTGGCACGCATGTGTGCCCATTGCAGTGTCAGGGTATATATCGCACCCCCCTCCCCACCTCCCGCCATAGCAAATTCAACCCCACACAATATGAAACTTCTTCAGATGCCCCGCAGTAAGGCACCACCAGAAATAAAATAACAGGGTCTTCTGGAATTTTTATTCATTATTATCAATAAAAGGTTATGAATTGTATAGTTGTGATCAATGACATATACAGTGGTACCTTGGTTTGCGAGAATAATTAGTTCCGGAAACATGCTCGTAATCAAAAGCACTCGTATATCAAAGCAAATTTTCCCATTAGAAATAATGGAAACTCAGATGATTCATTCCAAAACCCAAAAATATTCATATAAAAATGATTAATACAAAATATACAGTAAAAATACATAAAACAAATTAACCTGTACTTTACCTTTGAAAAGAAGAGGGAGACGAGAGACAGGAGAAGAGGAGGGTTATTTTGTAGGACGACTTTCACTATAACTAACGGAATCACTGCTATCTGTTGGCTCACTGGAATCTTTTTCTTTTTGTGCGACTTTAACAAGGAACCTATCCAGTGACAGCCGCTTTTGCCTCCTTTTCGATTTTGCGGAAATGTGACATTACATTGTTGCTAAACGGATTCATCGCTTGCACTGCTACACCCTTATTCGGGTGGTGCTTTTCTGCTAAATTTTTACTATACAAGTAAGGCACGCTGATTGAGACCAAGCATGGGAGACGATTACCCACAATCCCGCAGCGAGAGAGAGAGAGAGAAAAGAACCATCGGCTCAGTTGTGATCACGTGATGCTCGGCAGACAAAGCGTATATATAATACTCGTATTGTGAGACCTCGCTCATTTATGAAGTTAAAATTTATTTAAAAATTTTGCTCGTCTTGCAAAACACTCGCAAACCAAGTTACTCCACTATAGGCTCACTTGAGGTCTTTGTCTCTCAGTAAATTAAGACTTTCAAAAGTGCAAAAGGGTGTAACGTTCAGCCAGAAGATGATTCTCCCGATGAGTGTGATGCAAACGCAGGTTGCTGACAGGATGGATGATGTTTAAATGCATTTGGTCGAGTTCGGGTACCACAGCCACGTCAGAGCGAGGCAGCCTCCTCAAGTTTGGGCTTCAGACTGTATGGAAGTCCAAGCTGATAAGATTTATTTTTTTTAGTGGCATCTCTGTAGTGCCCCTGCAGGTCAGCTGTGGTACTGTGGAAGCCCCATTGAGGTCCTCAGCCACTCGAGGAAGGGTGCCCTCTGCTGGCCTTCACACCCTTGTGCCGTTGGCCCAGGCCGGAAAGGTGTCCAGTTGGAACATAGCCTTGCCCCAGGTGTTGATGGCCAGCGTGATGCAGAAGAGGCCAATGATGTTCATGACCACGCCCACCTTGGCCTGAAAGACGGAGCTTCCTGTTACCCTGTTAGTTCCAGGAGTCCCACACCACATCCTTTTACACATTCTTGATTACATTACAGGTTAGTCCTGCTTATTTCTACAGCTTGTTAACATTGCTGTTATAGAATCAGGCAGATTTACCTATTTCCTTATTTCAAGCATTCTACATCAAGGGCTGTCCTGGGCCAGAGAACACTGGGTACAAGGTCTCATCTTTAATATGTGTGTGCATGTGGGATGGTCACTTACCATGTCTGATACCTTGAGGTAGCCATAGGAGAAGACGATGGCATTAGGGGGTGTGGCCACAGGTAGCATGAAGGCGAATGAGGCGCTGAGAGTGCAAGGTACCATGACATAGAGTGGGTTCACTCCTATGGACTGAGACTGTAACACACAGACAGTCGGGTGACTCCTAACGACTATGACTAACACACAGACAGTCGGGTGACTCCTAACGACTGAGACTGTAACACACACATAGCCGGGTGACTCCTAACGACTGAGATTGTAACACATATAGCCAGGTGACTCCTAACGACTAAGACTGTGACACACAGACGAGTGACTCCCAACGACTGAGGTTGTCTCAGACATACACATCAGCAAACTTATTTTAGCACAGTTTCAATGTGTTTTCAAATTAATTTTGCAAGTATTATTTCCTGATTAGGGATTTTAATGTTACATGGCTGTTTCGAGTCGTGTTTGCTGAGAGACTTCTCACTACATTACTGACATGTAAACTCTGAGCTCTGAAGATCTGGGCTCTGAAGGTCTGTCAATGATCACACAGCGTTTTGTACGCAATACCCAGTTTTCAAACCTGCTGTATCTAAAGACATCATTTAGCTAGCTAAGCATACATCTACATTTTATGGACAATGATTGTGTTAAAACGCCTATACTAAGATCATCACATGATCATGGAGTTGTGGTGTAATTCCAGGCCTCCAGGCCACTTCCCTCTCTCTTGCTGGGCTGTTGAAAAGATTCATAAGTGTGACTCCCAGTTTAAACCAGAATAGCAAATGGACATGCCGCCCCGGGGGCTTGGACCTCCACACATTCATGCATTCATTCATAGATTAAAAAAAGAATTTTCTATACACATGTACAAAAAGACGGCCATTTTGTAACTAAAAATTCCCTCCCGTGAGAGTATCCAAGCGCTCCGCTCCTCCAATTTGTATTTCGATCACTGAGTCTCTCTCTCTATTTCGTTTCTCTCATGCTTGATGTGTAACAAAGGTGTCACACCAACTGCTGTGCTGAAATTAATCCCCCCCCCCTTCTGAATGGTTGTGCCCTGGCACACTGAAATGGCTGTCGGCGGTGCCATCTGAGCCCCTCTCTTCCTGGCACCGTGGGGGAGGGCCTCTGCACCATTCAGCCCTGCGGGGCTGCATAATTTGGCCAGTGCAGAATGTGGCTTCGGGCCAGTGGGAACTGGGTGTAGTTCTGACCCCCCCCCCCCCACCTTTCTGTTCTAGACGTAGCTTGGGGTGGATGGATGTCTCACTCTGGTACTGATCTGCTGTAGATCAAGAGGTCTGCATGCTGAGCTGCTCTTGAATGGTTGTGTTGTTTCTCCTGGCTACGATCCTGTCCCAACTTCATTCCACTGGGAAACACTGAGGCCGGTCTATTGCTGGGATGCTGCTCCACACAGCATCATCTGACAGGCGCTGATGTTAGCCCAAAAGCCGGCCGTGGGGCTACTTTTACTGTAACCGGTAAAGTTTTATGTTTAAATCTATGAAGATGCACAGATTTTTGTTAACAAATCCTACTCTGAATCGATAATAAATATAAAGTGGAACCCAACAGGATTTTTAACATGATAGCTCTCATGGAGCATGAAAGATATCGTTAAAAAATGGCCCCTGTCGTCATGGTGGTTCTCCAGGTCGCTCCGGGTCTTTAACGCCCCCATCCACCTGCTTCCCTGTCAAAATAAGAGACCTCGTCCACATGCTGCCATACAGTCTGACCGTACCATGGAGGCCAGGATGGGCAGGAAGAGGGTCGCCGTGGCTACGTTGCTGGTGCACTCAGTGAAGATGGCCACTAGGAGGCAGAGCACAGTGGCAATTGCCCAGGGGGGGATGCTGTGCAGAGGCGTCATCTGGCTGCCCATCCACTTAGACAGACCTGAGACCTGGAGAAAGTCCAAGCCAGCTCTGTCAACATAGGGACACACACACACAGGTCTTCCTATCTAAATGGGGACCGTCCATTCATTTCTATGGAAAAAAACCCTAATCTCAGTCACGACACCCTTAACCTCTACCCATCCCTAACCTTAACCATAAGCAACCAACCCAAATACAAGACTTTTTCTTTTTTTGATTGCATTCACAGATGTTTATATAACTGAGGTTATCCAAATGGGGACCTCAAAAGATGTCCTCAAAAGTAGGGAAATTTCAGGTTTTACTACACTTTGGGGACAGTTTGGTCCTCAAATGTGATCTATGCAAACCCACAGACACACGCGCCCCTCAACCACCTCGCTCCCCCTGGCCAAGGCGAAGCCACCACCGAGCAGAAGAACGATGTTCCAGGGCAACTTCTTCTGGACGATGTTCCAGGTGAGCAGTGCTGGACAGGGGGGGTTGGGGGGCGAAGACTCTGCAAAGCAACACGGCAATTTGACAGGTCTGTGTGCAGAGGGAATAGCAGGTCTGGGGTCAGCAAATGGCAGAGCGGGAACTCACCAGCTGGAAGGCCGCCCCCGTAGCAGAACCGTGGAGCCTTGGAGGGGAGGATGAAGAGGAGAACGGCGATGAAGACCGCCACCGTTGCATCAGTCACGTACCTGGTGCATTAGGGCAGTGGTCACTGCACACTGTCTGATATGCAAAATAATCTCTGCAGTCAGACTCCCAGGAGGAACATCTCATTTGCAAAAAATGTGAACCTGAGTTTAAGTCCCACATCATGGAGGTAAACGGGGAACATGGACAGTGGCTGTTGTTTTATTATTAATCTAAAATAATTTTAGGAACATACAGAAAATGGATGGATGGAGATACGGGGGGATAGTTTCAGGGAATTTGAACCAACAAACTTCAGCTTACGAATCTGGGTCTTGAATCATTCCCCTTCCTTCTGCTCTACATACTGCCCGTGGTTTGATTGTTATAACTCTGGCCGGGTGACACTCACTCCGCCTTGGCGTTAAAGAGGAGTGTGGCCCAGCCAGCCGTGAAGCCCGGGTCCCGGGTGAACCACAGCGCCACCAGGAGGCCGAACAGCACCAGGACACTCAGCTCCCCGAAGCACATGGGACCAAGCTTACGGAGCTCCTCGCGGATCACCCTGTAGGCCGCGATCTCCCTCTGCGACTTCTCCATCCCGCAGCCCCACGTCTTCCTGAAGCTGCATCACAGGTGAAGAGAAGGTAGAGAAGACAGGTAGATGGAGGCAGGTCATGCAATCAGTAAGTTTTCCATGTGCCAATATGTCCAGATAAAAAAAAAAAAAACTACACCTTGATGTATTAATAAGATCCTTCTGCTGGCTGTGGTACCCGAACTCGATCCTTCTTTTGTTGGTTTTTGTCAACATCTTTTATTCATCCCAGTGGTCACTGTGACTATCATTCATTCAATCATCATACCCGCCAACCACAGTTGGACAGAAGGACAGATACATTTACACATTTTTCTTTGGCTGCTACGAAGTTTGGAAAATGAAGTTTCCAATATAAGCAGGTACCCAGAAATCTTTGCCAGTGGGTTATTTACTTTTATGCTTGTTTTTCCTGTGTAAATAATGTCTGATTCTGTGTGTGAGTAGTTTTCATCTGGTTTTATGTGCAAATAATGTTGTCTGGTTATGTGTGTGAGCAGCTCTGTCTCGGGATCTCTGTGTGAGCAGCTCTGTCTCGGGATCTCTGTGTGAGCAGCTCTGTCTCGGGTTCTCTGTGTGAGCAGCTCTGTATCGGGTTCTCTGTGTGAGAAGGTCTGTTTCGGGATCTCTGTGTGAGCAGTTCTGTTTCGGTTCTCCGTGTGAGCAGCTCTGTCTCAGGTTCTCTGTGTGAGCAGTTCTGTTTCGGTTCTCCGTGTGAGCAGCTCTGTATTGGGTTCTCCGTGTGAGTAGCTCTGTCTCAGGTTCTCCGTGTGAGTAGCTCTGTTTCGGGTTCTCCGTGTGAGTAGGTCTGTTTCGGGTTCTCTGTGTGAGCAGCTCTGTTTCGGGTTCTCTATGTAAGCAGCGCTGTCTCTGGATCTCTGTGTGAGCAGCTCTGTCTCGGGTTCTCCGTATGAGCAGCGCTGTATCGGGTTTTCGGGATGAGCAATGCCATGGCTCATTCTGCTTTATTTTTCCCTCACAGCTAGCATATGAAATGCAAACCTACTTGAAGCCCATGAAGACGATCTGCAGCCAGAGCAGGGCGAGGACCAGCATGAGGACCATGTTGGGGAAGGCAAAGCCAAACCATGAGGCAAAGTTGATCACATCCCCATTGTCAGGAAAGAGCCTTGGAGAGACAGAGGACAAGTGGGTGGACTCAAGATCCCTTCAGTGACACCAACCAGTGATACACACTGATGCACTCACTGGTTCATCTGGCCTTTGAGGACCAGGTTGGGGCCTGTCCCAGTGAGAGTAGCGGTGCCCCCAATGCTGGCAGCGTAGCACACAGACAGGGTCATCCCCTTACACATCTGCTTCCACTCCATAGCCTCCTGAGGGGCACCTGTGCAGAGTCAAACACGGTATTCAGAGTCAAACACGGTATTCAGAGTCAAACATGGTATTCAGAGTCAAACAGCATTCAGCAGCTTTCCTTCATAAGAAAGCATTTCTTTTACCAGACTACTGGTTTTATTCTCCCAAGCTCTTATGATCGAGTTGATCATTCTTTTTTTTTAATCTCAAGCTCAGTTCCTTAACTTAAAGATCAACCAGCTGCCCAGTGGTCTGAGAAATGGGAGGAACATAATGCATTTATCCATTTTTTGGAGATGTCGCCTCTGGGAAACACTGAAGGCTTTATCTCTGAGGGCCTCCTTTTCCGGGTCTCCTGTACAGTGTTTCTGCCTAGCAGCAGTCTCCCCCCGCAGAGTGACGGCTGTCTCTCAGGCCTCCTCACCGTGTCCCCCCGCCTGCTTGCTGTTCGGTTCTGGGGGATGGTCCCTCTCATCTCTGCTCATGATCTGCAGTGTCTCTGCCTCACCATGGTTGAGCTGCTCCAGCACGGCCTGGACGATGGGCACCATCATGGCGGTGGTGGCCGTGTTGCTGATCCACATGGACAGGAAGGCCGTCACGGTCATGAAGCCCATCATCAGCCTGGGTTTGATGGGACAGATGTGAGCTACCGGTGGGTACAGGCGACCTCTGTGCCAGAGACACAAGCAAGCTGGGCTCTGCTGCAGTTTTGTCGCATTCAAACATTTACAGGAAGGCTTATATACAGGTAGCTACATGTTTAGGTTCAGCTAGTCCGTGCTACAGGAACTAAGCTCTATGACAGATTGGTGATTGGTGAATCTGGCACAATCATCTACAAGTGATACACAATATCCCATATGTGGACCATCTCGGGGGTGGGGGGTCACTCACAGTGCTGGACGCACCCCCATGATGAGCAGCACCCGCAGGGCAATGCGCTTGTGCAGGTTCCAGTGCTCCACGGCCACGGCCACCATCAGCCCCCCCACAAATAGCATGTTGGTGTCCTTCAGGTACTGCATGCACACCTGAGGGGGCACGTGAGCGAGTAGGTGCAGTGATGTCGCTTCCTGGATGCGATACACTGATCGTGATTTCTGCTTTTCCCCATACACTGCAAACAATTCCATGTTCTCCATGTTTCATGTTCATATCCATTCATATTCTATACCCACCTGTCCTATGCAGGGCTGCGAGGGTCCAAAGCCTATCTGGGAAGCTACAGGTGCGAGGCAGGTAACACTCACTATACACACCTACAGACAATCTGGTAACTGCGATTCATCTCAGAATGTTTTAGACTGCGGGGATCAAGCTAGAGAAGATGAAGAATCCCCCATGACAACCCTCAAGTCCCAGACAGGGCAGCCCGGGTGCTTGTCCGGCCCTGGGTGAGATTCTGCAGAGTATCTGCCTGTGACTAGCTGGCTGGTGTCTGTTTCACAAGAAAAGCAGAGAAATATTAAAACTAGGGTAAATCACTGTAATGTGGAATGCAACCATGGTCGTTTTTCTGATCCTTTTCACTCGTTCCTTTGCGCCCCCTAATCAAACGGCACCCTAGACGATCGCCTGGATGAGTGATGCCTACAGGGTGGGTGGGCCCAGGTCCTGGAGGTGTGAGACGACAGCGCTAACCACTGCGCCACCATGCCCCCCCCCCCCCTTTCATATCAGCTTTGTTTAAACATAAAAATCATAATTGGGCGCCTTGCTGAGTACTACAACACTGTGATGGTAACAATATTTGCTCTGAAACATTTTTCTCTGCTGTCATCCCCATTGCGTAGAGCTGTAGGATACTGTAATGAGACTGTTGCTGTGAAGTGCTGAGGATCCATGTTTCCACAGTTACCGTTGCCGTGGCGATGCCATGCAGCAGGGGCCTACCTTCTTGGACTCCATGATACCCAGCAAGGGGAACAGCAGCGCAGGCAGCAAGGCGGTGACGGCCAGCGGCAAGGCCTCAGTGCACCAGAAGACAGCCATCAGCGCAATCACATAACCGCATGCTGCCTCCTGCAGGGCGACATCAGAATGGCGTATTCCCTAACAATACCAGCAGGGGGAGCAGCAGTTAAAAAACTAGCCCCGAAGACACAGGTTCAGGCCACAAATGTGATGATTTTGGTCATCAAAAAACATGAGATGAACGCAAGTACCAGCGAGCACCACCTAAGACTTTAAGATCCTCCTTCATTTTCACAACAGCAGAGCCACTCCCTGGACTTGAGTTGCCAAATTTTTCATCACATGTCTTGTTCCTTAATCATAATACTAAAATCTCCATATACAGTATAGGCTAATAATAAAATCACAGCTTCTCACAAAGTCAGTGGCAGGTCAGTGATGTCATATCCTCAACGGAGGCTTCAGACTGACCTTAATATGAGTCTCTGTTCCTCCCTTAGGAAAGAGCAAGTGAACAAAAACATCTGACTGTGTTATGACAGTAGCGCAATGATCACAACGTAAGTGTCTATCACTGGGTACTCAGACGAAGTTATCCTTCACCAGTCGCGCGGTGGCTGGTGTTTGTTCAGGGCTATGCCAAGCTATGATCGCCGAACGTCAGATGCAATTCCTGTGACATAATGAGGAGATTATACGTCTGGTGCAGGGTAATAATAAGCTATGGGGTGAATGAAAGCGCATGCGCTTCACCTGCTGTGCTCCCCTGTAGATCTTGCGTAGATGTCGCGAACCAGGTGAGGGCAACAGGAACGAGTCATTTCAAATGTTCGGCTTCTACTGGCTGTGCATTTCGGATAAGCAGAGCGAGCAGTGTTACGGGGACCTAAGGGACCACATTCTTAGAACATACTTTGCTCGCAGCCCCTGTTTCAATCACAAGCAGCACGGAAGTTTAAAATGCACCTACTGTAAAGTCACCTGCGTGTGAACGGTATTATATAGGAGAAAAGAAAATACCTTCAGATCCGCCCCCAGGATTAGCAATGTAATTTTATATGTTTTTATTAAACTTATATAGATCGAACTCGGAATTTGTGCTTTTGATCATCCCTGTTTTCAAACACCTAATGTAAGTATGACACCTATAAAAACACTCATTTAATATCCCTCTGCTTATTTTAACTTGGATGACTTTCGAGTTCTACTGCGAATATTAACTTCCCATTGATTCTGATAAGTGATTTTAGAAAATCATATCACCCTTTGATTATGTGAAACTCAAAACCTCTTGTTTAAATGCTTGGACACTGTATGAAATGACTAACCACATTTCCTAACGAAAAATAAAAATTCCGCAACTTTTATCTTCATTATTGTGACGAAAGGCATATACGTACCTTCGTCCTAATTAGAAGGGGCAGAGGGAGCAGGAGGAGCGGCGCGCAGAAGAGAATCCCCACGCTCCTTCGGCTCCAGAGCGCTTTCAGCAGCCGTGCCATCTTTTGTTACGGTGGAGAGGAGGAGAGAAAGCTCAGTACTTCTCCGCAATCTTTCACGTTGTTGAATGAGTGTGAGAGCGAAAGAATGTGATGGGGAGGGGGGCCGGAGTAATTCATACCAAGCAGTGATACGCGCGGAACTCCCCGTTCGTGCTCGGGGCCGCGGCGCCCTTGCATGCGTTAAAATATGACCCTCCCCGCTGCAACTTTTAACAAAGTTCCGAAGATTATCCAAAGTCGGATTTTATATGTGGGTGGTATATCACATTTTCTTATATTGTCTGTGTTAATCTTTCATCTGTATCTCGTTGTCCTTTATATCATTTATTCATTATTTGAACACTGTACATCAACTCACTTTATTATCAATTCACACGTGAAACGGAATTGCGTTTCTAAGGAGCAGTATGGGCCCACAGCCTGAACACAGCCGCGAAAGAAACGCTGAACAATAAATACTGAGGAGGAATTAATTTAAAAATACGTAATGAAATCCAAGATTATGGAAGGTTTTTGATAGGTTCTGACTACCGCATTATATTTACATATCAACATCTTATTCATGCTTTGAATTTTATGGGTACGGTTGCACCTGAACTGCAAGACGATTTGAAGAATCACATGGCCAGTCCCTGTACAAACTGCTAAATGTAATAAAGGGCCTAAACCAATTATACAAACCGAATAACAAACTACCATCGCATTTTCTAATGTAATAATAAGGTAATTGAACTTCAATTACTGTTTCATTACTGTTCAGATTTGTTTATTTTTTTCTTGTCCGAATTTACCTGAACATGGTAGATAGATTGGGACAGTGTTCATCAAAATAGGGACACCCTTTAAAATGAGAAGCTGTGTAATAATGTAGAATTTGTATTTTTTTTCCAGAAAATGGTACAGGTTTGTAGGCAGAAGATGGGGAGAGGGCAGAAAGAGGGCAGACATAGGCCTAGGTGAAGAGGAAGACAAAGGTACAGGCAATGGAGTGAGGGGAGAATGAGAGGTGCAATAAATGAATGTGGGGAAACGGTGGAGGCTGGCTGGAAACCAAAAACTTCATCTTTTAGCTAAGGGCAGGGGTGGCAAACCTGTTCCATGGAGGGCCAGTGCGGGTTTTTGGGGTGACCTTTCAATCAGCCAATAACTAAGCAGTGGTTCTCAACTCCCTTCCTGGGGATCTACTGTTATTGGCTGATTAAGAGGTCATCCCAAAAACCCGCCCCCACAGTGGCTCTCCATGGATCTGGTTCGCCACCCCTAAGAGAGGACATAGTGCGTTCCAAAGTCCACCCTTCAAAGAAGAGCAGTGTGCTGTACAGGGCTGTCGTCATGCTTGTGGTAGGAAGCCATTTTTATCCAAATCGTCTGAGAGAGAATTAACTGTGATGTTGAAACTGCTATCACAGAGAGTTTCCCCCTGACCAAACAAATCAACAGCACACTCAGGTATGTTCGTAGCTACTTACATGCCATTGAATAAGTTCTCTTTGTTAGATGAAGCTCAGAATGGATGAAGTGTTGGAATGCATGTACAGTACAGACACAGAAAGAGATACACACATGAGTTCAAGTTCAGTTTGTACTTCCCTGCATTTTCATATTTAAGACTTGTAGTAAAATCTTTAAACAGCATCACAGTAATTGGACAAATATTTTTAGGCAGGGGCTTCATTAGGCCTATATTAGTGGGAAATGTTTTCAGCCTCCCCCCCTCCCAAATAAATGTGCATTTATTGGCTTAAGTCTTTAATAGTTTGCCATCAGCCCCCCTTTCATCTCATAAGTACGCCCCTGTTTTAGGTACATTTTAAGCATTTTACCAGAATGTGTCCCATTTTTGCTGAATTCACCCCTACGTGTTTTTCACATTTTGACATAAGTATATTTCACATATTTCACGCAAATATATTTCTCAACTAGGTGCATCATGTATGACACCCACCGAGATTAACTGCAAGTGCTCTACCGGAAATAAATGCAAATTAATAAACGCACGTAGTTCAGGAATCAGATAATTAGCTGTAATCATGTTTAAAAGGTTTTCTTCTATGAAGTTTCCCCGATCACCCACAGTCTGAAAGAATTTCTGACGCATTCTTGCTTCTGTTGCCCGCCAATACGTAAAACTGTAACAAGCACGACCTTTAATTATAACATATCAGACGGGTAGCGGCAGCCTCCTGCGTGTTTGTTACTTCTAAACGCGGGGCTTCCATGCATATTCGCTCCGTCACTGATTTTCTGGCTCAAGTCATTAATTGTTTCTGAATGGAAACAAGTGCTTTTCATACTTATTCAAGAGGCTTACTGATTAATCCTTTTCTTTATCTGAAACAATTTAACGTCTGTGAATAATAATAATTGATATATGTTGAAAACACCTAGACAATTAAAACCACTCCGAAATACGCTTGAGGCTCAGTAGTTCGCACTGTATCTCCCCTCCAGGGTTGAAGGTTCGAATCCATAAATTGTCCGAAGGGTTAGCGTGTGTGTACCACCGATGGATGAAGGCAGTGGACCTCTATAGGACAAATACGAAAGTAATCGTTCTGATGGCGCCATCTAGTGGATACTTATCTATCTATGGTTTTGACAGGCATGAACCTACAAAGCGGTGACGTCTCTTGTATTGGCGTCTGCTGTTGTGCTATTCATATAGAATCAGTCATATTATTCAGCCTGTTAATTGTTCCGTATTTTGATATTTATCTGTTTGGATTACAAATCATTTTAGCTGGTGCGTGTGAGACGCCAGGTTACAGCTGGCCTTTTCAATACATTCACGAAATGTGTAAAAATAGTGGTGGTGAAATAGACCGAGATATACACTCGCCTAAAGGATTATTAGGAACACCTGTTCAATTTCTCATTAATGCAATTATCTAATCAACCAATCACATGGCAGTTGTTTCAATGCATTTAGGGGTGTGGTCCTGGTCAAGACAATCTCCTGAACTCCAAACTGAATGTCAGAATGGGAAAGAAAGGTGATTTAAGCAATTTTGTTGGTTGTTGGTGCCAGACGGGCCGGTCTGAGTATTTCACAATCTGCTCATTTCACAATCTGCTCAT